AAAAGGTTTCTTATTGACAATTATACTACATCTGGTTTTATATTCATAAGACTAGTAGTGAACTTCAATAATTGTGGAATATTTTGCTTCTCCTTGTCCCTATCGTATCTTTCTTCTTTCTCTTTATTGTATGTAATATCTTTAATCAAGACCAGGAAAATAAAATATAAAGCTTTGCATTTAAAAAAAGTAACATTATTTACTGCGTGGATATGCAAATTGAATTTTTCGTATGGTTGTTGTCTTTTATCAACGTCTCAGTGTTGTTATTTAAATTCAATAGTAACACTAAGCTCACAAACAGCCAGTTTTGTATTATGTTGAAAGTAATAATCTCGAGTAGAAATCATAAGATATCCAGTTCTCACTCCTAATAAAATTAAATAAATAACCATTAACTTGACCTGAGAGTAAATAGCAATATAATCGATTATAAATTATCAATAATTTTCAAATGCATCCTTTTGATTTGTTTAACAAACTATTTACTTAGGTTTTCTTTAGCATGTTTAGTCATATCCATGAATGTGTAATCTAAAAACTTGCCGTGTAGATTAGTGTTTGTTTCTTTTTTTAGCTTGACAGTGCTATGCATTTAGAAAAAAGTTTTAATAAGTGTTCACAACTTGTTATTCGATTATAAGGGAATCGCTTAACTGGTTGTGTCAATAACTGTGCATATATGTAATACAAAAATTAAACCAAATGCTCTATAACAAAAAAATTATCTAAATATATCTTATGCCCGTTCTTTATTTAGACAGTTCAACAAAAGTATTTCAGTCTGTCATTGCTGTATACAGACTTGTACTTGAACGCCGCACTTAATTCTTTGATTATGTTTATATGCATTCTATGTGTATGCCGCTACTCTTATTTTACATCACTTAAACGGAATTATTTATTAATAGCATGTATGTGTGTGGAAAACACGATGGATTTGAAATTTGAGTTATTGATTATAAGAACAAAATTAAAACTTTTTTCGCCGATTGTATGTGCCTTCTCTAAAATGTTTACCTATTCTGAAAGAATTAAATCAGTAAAATCTTGGATATTTTCTTCTAGATTTACCGTTCTAGTTCACCGAGCCCAAGTTGTATGCAACATTTCATCAGAGTCTGTGACATATCCTATTTACTATAACTTGGCCTTAAGTGCTTGTCTCACATAAAAACATGCAAAATTGTAAAAATTGTCCAGAAGGGTGGTTTGAAATTTTCCTAATTAGGTTGATTTTTCAGTTCATAGATGTCTAAGGAATTAAAAAAAATATTTCAGACTTTTCTAAGTTGAGGCTATATACAGTAACAACCTAATTTGCATATTTCAGTGATAAAGGTCGGAAATACCATTAAAAATTGGTAATGTTTGAGACCTCCAAAATCACCCAATGCCATTTCCACCTAATTTTTGGTTTATGATATGATTAAAATATATATTGTAGATTGTGAAAAGCAATATAATGAAAGAATTCCATCATCACTTTTTCGTATAGGATGCTATTTATGAAGCCTAGATTTATATATTTCATTTTTACGTCAAGTTTGAGACACTGGTTCTCCGTAAATGTAGTAAATAAATGAATGAAATATCTTTCGTAAGAAAATTTGTTTTTAGTTCTACAAAATATAAAAAATCCACCGATGGCAAATTGTTTAAAATACCTTAAAATTTCAGTTAAAATACCCCCCAACACCCATTTCCACCTATTCTATTTTTGTTAAATATTTCCAAAATAATCAATAATTTATGATTTAAAAACATGAAAAATATCAGATTGTTTAAATAATAATTTTTATTAATCAAAATTTTATAAGAAAATAAGAAGAATCAAAATAAAATAATATTTTGACACTTCACCTACATTGTATGTGCACCAAAAGTTATTTCCCCTGAATTAAATCTCCAACTACAAGTACAGAAAGGCAATAATGTTAACAGCAGACCAAAAGGAGCAATCCATGTAACTTTTCAACATTATGCAACACAGTATGTTTTGATGGTCCTTCGATCCAACTCTTCCACTGTGATAGGGACACAAGTTCTCATTTGTCACATTTGCAATGCTCAGAGAAAATTCCAGACAGGTGCATGCAGTTTTATGACATCCCTGAGGCCTTTCTGATTTTATATAGAACTGGGATATTCTCCATTGACAGTTCGGCATTGAAACTAAATATATGTGCGTCACATAGAGAATATTTTGGTATTCAATGGAGGAGGAAGCAAATCCGTTGCATTTACCAGGGTCATAGTGAGAAGAGCAGATTTAATGCAGATCGAGGAGCCTGTCCTACTCTGTGCAAGCTGTATTGGTTGAATACAAGACAGATACTTCCAGTAGGAGCAGGTAAACTTATATTTTCATCACATTCTGTAGTAGGGGTTAGCCTACAGAATGTCTTTAACTCGAGATCAGACTAACCCCAGAACAGTAAGGGAGCAACCATTTCAGAGTTCTCGAAATCTTTTTATCTGCTTGACCACAATTATTTCATCACATTGGGGATCAGAATATTTTTTTTTAGTAAAATAACACAACCCTCTCCCCTTCTTGAAGTTAAATGGTCGTTCCCTAACTACATGTATACATCAAATATATAAACAGTCACTACAATGAAGCATATATCGTGTATATAGCACTCAATACAGAGCCATCCCAAGAAGGCGAGTATACACTTTTCTGATCTGGACCTTTTTGGTAAGCCTTGCACTGCTTTACATATGAATCTGTGAGCTTTTAAGCAATAAAAAATATTACCCCCCCCCCCCTTTTCTACGAAAAATGTAATTGATTATATAGGGAATCATTGAAGCGGGCCCCTCTCAGGCAGTCGGCGAGCCCCACTTATGAAAATGATCTGCCACTGGGGGTCAATCTGTAGCCAAGAATTTTGTTTATCAAACAGTTGTGAATTGGGGACTGAAAGGACTTGTCGTTTTATAAACAGTATATCATTAAAGCACAATATTAAATGAAAGTAAATTGTTGTAAATTATCAGAATGGTAAATATTTTATATTCAATTTCATAATAATTATCCTAAATTTCAGATGATCAAATATTTAAAAAAGTATAGAAATCTAAAAGTTCCAACTAAAATGCCCTTTTCACCTACAAATGTATTTAAAATTAAAACTAAGTTTAACAGCAATAAACCAAAATGAAAATTATCTTTGCAATTCGTAAGAACAGTACTATATAAATAATAATAGAAGTGACAGTCAAGTTTTATGATTTGAAAAATTAACATAAAATTTTAAAAGTTCACTGAATTTCATATGAACTAAAATTAAAAAGTCTACATTTTTTCATATATTAATTAAAATATGTTGATGACAGCTATAAAAATCCAAGTTGATTTGAATCTTTTAAAAGTTGACTTACCATCTATTTTTATTTGTTATCTGAGGACATCAAATGTAATTTGGTTCCTTATCATAATATGTAGGATTGAAATAGTGTAGTTAATAACTTTTTTCTTTTTTAACATTTTCAGGATTATGCAAGAAATGTGCCACTTTATTAAGAACAGATGTTTGTAATGAGCAAGTGAATTTTGAGAATGAATTGGGTAAGTTAAAGATTATAAGGTAATGTATTACAGATACAATTAAACTTGTATAATCTGACACACATACATCAGTCAGGGGCATTACTTAAATAAGTAACAATTAAAGTTACCTATACAAGTAATGTTGAAAACGAGGCTATTTTAAATATTACTTATATAAGTAACTTTTCTGAATATTCTTTGTATAGGTGTCCAATTATACAGAATTTAGTAGCTTTAACAAATTTTCACAGTCATCTGGTTATTTTTCCCATGAAATATAAAATCTAATCCTTCTCAAACACTAATTAACTTTCTGACGCACTTATCTTTCATACTGACGCTTCTGGGTCAAAGATTGGTCTCATGGGACTATTAAATTATCATTTTCCTCCAAAATCTTAGAGGTAGACTGATATAAATAGAAAGATACTTGTGAATTAATTAAGACTTGAAGTTATTTATAACTTGTAACCAAAATCAATTACATATGTTCCTTCAATAAGTGTTATTACTATTTTTTTCAAAAATGTATAAAATAACTTATTCAAGTAATATTTTTGTCATTATTTTTAAAGTAACCCTTTATCTCTATACTCCTCTCAAATCTAATAAATTCTTTATTTTATGATATAAAATGATGTAAAAATTCATGAAAACTACATTTAGTCTATGCTTCTATTGAAATTTAAAATAACTCTATTAAGTAATTTTATTATTTTTAAAAACAAAAATTACTTATATAAGTAACTTAAAAAAATAACTTGTTTAAGTAACGCCCCTGACTGTACATGTACCTTGAGTTCAGAAAAAAACATGTTTGTTCGATATCACAGATTGAAAGACAATAGAAGCATAAATGTACCCACAAAATGTGTTAGATAATACATTCTGGAATAATCAGGTGTCAAAATAGACAATTTCCATTGAAATCAAAGAACAACACATCAAATCCTGATAAAATTCCTTTAATAAATGCCAAACAAATCTATATGCCACTGCTATAAACTCACTCACTTTTGTATTTTAAATGAAGTCAAATTTGGCAAAAAAAAAGGGGGCTGAGTAAGTAATGCGGTAGGTTGTCCTACTTGGGTACATAGAAAATAAAGATTGAAATTTGTATACAATACACAGAAGTTAGATTTAATGGCTATGACTGGGTTTCACATTCATTAGTTATATTCACTTATATTGTTGGACAAATAACATCTCTTAGTTCATTTGGTAACCTCAATACATGTACATGTACAATACAATTAATCCCCTTGCCAACACATATACTTATAGGTCCCTCAAGTAAGGTAAAGCTATAATGCCTAATTCTACGTTAAAGGACCCACAACCTTTATGCATTTTAATAAACAAACCTCATCTAAGATTACATATTTATCACAATATAGGAAAATTAACATTCATTTTTTAAATCAAAATTAATAATCTGTCATTATTCCTTTTTTACAGAAGCATTTTATGAAGCAAAAAGGTTATTTGGTAGACCCAACAGCAGAATAGAACAAGAGCATAACCAAGGTAATTTTTTAATGTGTTAATAATATCAACTGGTTAAGTTTGAGATCAAATGGACTATTGCCATTACATTTACCATAAAAAACCACTGAAGTGTAGCATGATATATAGAAACAAGTTGATACTGAATTTTGAAGCTCACATGGACACATTTGTGTGGCCCCGCATAACATACATTATGACATAATTTGTTAATGATAATTCATCTGAACTGATTTTAGTAGAAATGGTCTCTGAAATCCTGTTATGTAAATTTAAAAACATAACTTTTATAGCTGACTATGGGATATGGGCTTTGTTCATTGTTAAAGGCAGTATAGTGACCTATAGTTGTTAATGTTTGTGTCATTTGGTCTCTTGTGGAGAATTATCTCATTGGCAACCATCTTTATTTGAATGATGTAAATGTACACATCTATTTTTACAAAAGTGTGTTGCTTTAAACATTATACATTACTGGTATAATATATTTTTTCAGATGTTAACAGCAAAGATGATCAAGATATGGAACTTGCTTACAGTCAGTCCAGTGTGACAGGTTAAAACATACCCTGTATTGTATTTACTATAATATGTACTAAGAGGGGGAGGTAACTCTTCTAATATTATTATAGCTGCCTTTAAGAGGAGGGGGTGTACTGTTTTACCCCTGCCTGTCTGTCAGTCTGTCCCCTGAAATTTTTGTTAAACTGTTCTCAGAAACTACATTTCAGGGGCTTGCAGAAATAAAGAGTCATATATGAGGAAGCTATACCACATGATATGTTTCAAATGCATCACTCAACAACATCTTCATTACCGAACACTTATGTATTCTTACATTAAAAAGCCAAAAAGACAATTTTCATCGCATTTTCCTCAGGAATTACACATGAAGGCTATCAGAAAATTAGAATCAAGGATCATGAGACAAATTGTCCTGTACATGTGCCATGATATAACCTTTAACTTTGATCTCAAAGTAAAACATGTTAGTCTTTACACCTAGGCATGTGCATGTATTTGAGATGGTGGGTAGTGTTTTTCTTGTGACCTTTGACCTCAGATGTCAAATGACTTGATTTATTTTTACATTCTTTTCTTGAAACACAGCTTTATTACCTTTTGACATATGCTTTTAATATATTGGAGCATCAATGCAGCATGGTCAGACAATGACTTTCGACCTTCAATGTCCAAAAACTAATTTACATGTAGGAAATATAGTTGTTTTAGGTTCTAACAAGATAACGTCATATATTTAATGTGGCAACTACACAGCTTCATGAAAGTCTCTGATTTATTTTTTTAATCACTTCCACTTTTTAACTCACCTGGCCCATAAGGGCCAAATGAGCTTTACTTATTAATTGGCATCCGTTGTCCGTTAACTTTTACAAAAATCTTCTTCTCTGAAACTACTGGGCCAAATAAAACCAAACTTGGTTTAAATCATTCTTCTGGTATCGAGTTTAGAAAATGTATCAGATGACCCCGCCCATCAACCAAGATGGCTGCCATGGCTAAAAATAGAACATGGGGGTAAAATCAGTTTTGGGCTTATATCTCTGAAACTAAAGCATTTAGAGCAAATCTAACATAGATTAAAATGTTTGTTGGGTCAAGATCTATCTGTCGTGATATTATCACATCCATCAGACAACCAGTTGTTAGGGTGCTGCCCCCAAATTGCATTTGTAAGTTTACCGAAATTTTGCAGCTTTTGTTTATTATCTTGAATATTATAATGGCTAGAGATAAACTGTAACCAGCAAAATTGTTCAGCAAAGTAAGATCTGATCTACAAATAAGTCAACATGTACAAAATTGTCAATAGACCCCATAAAGAGTTATTGCCCTTTAAAGTCAATTATAAATTTTTGTTATATTTTACAAAAAACTTCTCCTCTGAAACTACTGGGCAAAATAAAACCAAACTTGGCCTAAATAATTCTTAGGGTATCAGTTTAAAAAAAGTATCCAATGACCCTGCCCAACAACCAAGATGGCCGCCTTTGGGCTTAAAATAGAACATGGGGTAAAATAAAGTAGATTTCTCTGAAACTACTGGGCCAAGTTCATTACAAATAGAGATAATTGTAAACAGCAAGAATGGTCAGTAAATTAAGACCTACAAACAAGTCATCATCACCAAAACAGAGAATTTTGTCATAAATTCTATTCTTGTCTATAGTGTGTGTCCTTTGTTTAATGTGCACATAGACCAAGGTGAGCGACACGGCTCTTTGGAGCCTTTAGTTGTAAGTACCATGAAATAATTAACACAGTCACTGAACTATTAATGTCACAGATATATTGGATCTTTCTTCTCATTTAATTTCGTAATTCTTTTTTGCAGACACATTTGAAGGATTTTCTGAGCTATCCTCACAAGCAACAACAATGTCAAGCCAGGACTGGCTTGAAACACAAATGACCACCAAAGACAGATTTAATGCAGCTATGAAAATGTTATCACATTCATTTGAACCTCTTAATTGCCAATTGTCAAAACCATGGAATACACTTAGTAAAAGTTCAAGGTCATATTATTTGAAAAAGACACAGGAGTCAATTAGGTTGATTTTTAATGTTATTGCACCTGGACAAGAGGATGTGCTATTAGATAATTTACAGCAAAAAGAGGTTTCGATTGATTCCACTACTAGATGCATAATTGATGCTTTCCACAATGCTAGAAAATCAAGAACACAGATTCAAATTCTGTCTCTGATTGTTAACAAATTTACCAAACTAGAACTTAAAAAATTGATCCCTGGATTATCTGTGGCAAAAATTGATGGTGCTAGAAAACATTCATTAGTTGTTGGGGCAGGAAACCTTGTTAATCCACCCAAAATTTACCGAACTAAATTAACAAAGCCAAGAGTAACACATTTCAATGAATTCGTAATGAATCCATTATATTCTACCATTATTGGTTTTGGACAAACTATGTTAAAGTTATCAACTAATGAAAAAATGGAATTTCCTAGAGTAATAAGTAATGTAATAAATGCAAGAATTATAAGAAACTACCAAAATTATTGTGAAGAAAATAACTTGGAATCATACAGGAAACCAACATTGTACAGAATTCTCAAAGTATGTGCAGCATCTAAACAAAAAGCTTTACAAGGTCTTGACAATACAACTTCTGGTGGAATGGGAGCAATTGACACATTGCTTAAACTAGTGACAAAACTTGAGACATTTGGTATAAGTCATGAAAGTGTTGAAAAATTGAAAGACAGTTTACATGTAATTAACCAGTTTTTGAAATTTGAGTACAAACTGCATTTGAATAAACCAGATGGTTGTACAGATCACTGCACTACATACACTTTAAGTGACCCTTCAATTCCTGGATTTGCCTCTAGTTGTGAACATCAGCATGCTGCTAATTGTGATAAATGCAGTCTTGTTGACAATGTGCTTGACCTAATTACAACAGAGCTTTCTAAATTTCAAGTAAACAAATCAGTACAAGATAATATTGACTTTGATCTTAACAGTGCAACAAAGAATTTATTGGAATGGAAAAGGCACCTATTAAGAACTGTGCATCAAGATGCTGCTAGAAATGATATTTTGAAGAATTTAACACCTAATCAGAGTTTGATCATTATGGATTGGGCAATGAAGTTTTTGCCTGTACAATTCCGTGAGACTCAGTCAGAATTTTTCGGAAAGAAAGGTCTTAGTTGGCATATTTCATGTTCAGTTACAAGGTCAGCATCATCAGATGAGTTAGATCTCAACTGTTACATTCACATACTTGAAAATGGGACACAAGGCTGGTTTTCTATTGCAAATATTTTGCTCCATTTGCTGGAACAACTCAAGTGTAAGAATCAGTCTCTGGAAGAAATTTATCTCAAAAGTGATAATGCTGCATGTTACCACTGTGTGAACCTTTTAAGCTTCATCCAGCAGAACAACTCAACCTTCCCAATAAGAATCAAAGAATACAACTTTAGTGAAGCTCAATCAGGGAAAGACCTGTGTAACAGTAAAACAGGGTCCTCAAGGTGGCACATATACAGGTATGCAAATGAAGGACACAATGTTTTAAATGCAGGAGACATGAAAAAAGCCCTTGAAAGCTATGGAGGTGTTAAATGAACAAATGTTTGTGTTGTTTCTATTGACCAGGCATCTGAGCCTAAGATTAAAATTAAAATTCCTGGGATTAGTGTATTGAACAATTTTGCTTTCACTGAAATTGTAATTGTTGCAAGAATGGCCTATCAAGTTGGTTCTGGACAGCTTATACAAACATCAGGAATATCTGACCAAAACCTTTCTACAGAAAGGGTGTTTAATCCGGAGGTAAGTGTTAGAATTAGATTTAATTAAAAATTATACAAAAAGGGTGCACTGAAAAAAAAATTAACTTCTGTAATGTTTTCCAAATTATTCCTGGATTAAACAATATTATATATCTACCAACAAATTATGCGCTAAATAAGCATGGACTTTCAATGTAAAAGGCAAGACATTTTACTAAATTCAAGATATCTTATAAACTTTATAAAATATATCATATAGTTAATAACTTCAAGATATTTAATATAGTTTATAAGATATATTATATATTTTATAAGTTATCTCTTATAAGTTATAAGATATCTTGTATAATTTTTAACGTATTATAAAAATTATATGAGATATTTTATAAACTATTATATGAGAAACCTTATTAACTATATAAGTTATCTTATAAATTTTAAAGGATATGATAAAATATATAATATATCTTCGAAAAAATATAATTAACTTTATGAGATATCTCATATAATATACAAGATATCTTATGTATCTAGTTTATACGATATCTTATGAAGAAAGTTATACAAGAATCTTATAAATTGTATAAGATATCTCATGTATAATATAAGATATCTTATGAAGAAAATTATACAAGATATCTTATAAATTTTATAAGATATCTCATATAATATATAAGATATATCATAAAATATATAAGATATCTCATATAATAAAATATAAGATATCTTAAATATATGAGATATTTCATATAATTTTAAATTTATAAGATATCTTATAAAATTTATTATAAAACTACATAATAAAAGTTATCTGATATATTATATGAGATATCTTGAAGATAAAATGAATAGTAGAACGGTTTGCCATAAATGTACATCACATAGAACATTTATGAACTAGCATTAACAATCGACTCCAAAGTGAGACATAAAAAAAATGTATCCTCAGTGATGATCATAGAAAGTACACTTGATTACTCACCTCAACCTAATGATTGACCCTTTTCATCTTGAAAAAAAATACCTTTGCATGTCACCCTTTATATCTAATTAAAACATCAATCTTAATTAATGATTGGCCAAGCAACATTTATTATTATTATATATATATATTATAACTGAGAGCATGTACGATGGTGATTTACAAATCAAGTTGGAGTTTTACACTGTGACTGGTAGTGGTAGGGGACTTTTTTGCCTAAAAATACATTCAGAATAATATTATTATACATGAAATATTTCGTTCAACAAATTTTTGACAATATATAATATATGTATTTAATGTTTCAGGTCCATGAACCTTTTACAGGTATTCAAACAGCCGGGAAGGTTTCATATTCCAAAACAGCACAACACACAGCAAATGAACCATCAGCTATTTCAGAAGATGAAACCACCTATGCATCTGACAATCAAAATGTAAACTTTTTCTGTTGTCCTGATATTTCCTGTAACAAAACTTTTGCTAGAGCAACAAATCTGGAAAAACATATTCTTGTCGGAAATCATTCATATAGAACAAACAAATCTGGATTAGATACTGCAGTTGAAGTATATGCTTCTATTTCTGAATCTGTTCAGGATACACAAATAAATTTGATTCAAACCGTGAGTGCAGCTACGCAGTCAAATGCAACTAGTAATATGATAAATAAGGGATGGGCTCTAAAAGGCAAAAGAACAAATATTCGCTTTTCACAAAAAGTTAACTCTTATTCAAATGAGATATGTTTTAATTGTGAGAAAACTGGGAAACGGCCAAATTATTTTGCTCTGTCAGATGAACTCAGAAAATCATGTGATGAAAACGGAGAAAGATTGTTTAAGATGGAGGAATGGCTGAATCCTACACAAATTAAAGGCTACTTTGCAACACTAGTGACTAAACTAAAATCAGGAACTATAAGTTCTAATTCTATAACTGATAATAGTGCTGTTGTTCAGTCCATTGAATTGAGAGAAATTGAAGAAAATGTGGAACAAGATGAAAAACTGTATGAAGCTGTTGCAATTATAGATGCAAATACATATAATGAAAATGTTGAAAATTTTTTAGATGAAGTATACACGGCTGTTAACATGTAGTGTCACATAGGTTTTAACTTTATCTGACCAAAAGCAATATAAAGTTATCATTATAATACATGTCAATTATAATGCAGTACACAAGAATTTGAATGGGTACAATGTTATTCATCCACCAGTCTGCCTTGTCTTTCAGGCCTGTTCTTTTCAGTCAGCACTACAAACCTTCATATATGATAAGAACAAACTACAGGAAATAATGATTCAGTGAATTTTACTATGAGTTATGCCCTTTTGAACTTGGAATTTTTAGCCTTATATACACTAATGCAATACTCCTCTGAAACCACACAACATAATTTGATTTAACTTTGTAGATAATTACATAATACAATGTAGATATGTATATTGATAGGAAATTAGAATTCAATATTTTTGCTTTCAGTTGCCCTTTTGAATTTGTGGCCATGATGTACTACTGCAACAGTTTGTCATCGTGACAGAATTTTATGAAACGTTTGAAAATAGACTATGAGGATGTGCATATCCACAGCAATATTTTATTAGTTGTCTTTTGTAGGAGTAATGAGTCTTTTAACTTAGGAATTTGGTCACATTTTATTTGTCGAGTGACAACTTGATAATGTGGGGGCATGGGGTATTGGAGCTTGTTAAAATTTGTCAGTTTCTATTATAATATCAATGTCAATGCTATATAAACAACATGTATATACACAGGAAAAGAAACTTAGATTAATTGTTGATCCTATGATCTGTCATATGTGAGAAATAACTACGATACAATGTCGCAAAATACCCCATACAAAATAAGTTTGTAATTTTGGTGTCCTATGGGTAAAGCTTGTTAACTGTACACCCTTACTTTGATTTAAGAATTATATAAAGGATCCTTTTTATTAATCTATCCTGTTCTTAAGACTTTCAGACATTTCAGTACTTTTATATGATGTCTTACATTTTTAAAAAGACAAGACTCTCCCTTTCTTTGTATATTTTTTTTACTCAAACTTGCTTCAAAGGTGGGGTGCTCTAGGGGCTATTTCTGGTTTACTGATTTGCAGTGTTTCAAATTAAATTGATTTCTGCTGAGAATAATTGTTAGGTATGGGCAAAATGTAAGCTATAATATCTTTTTAATATATTGGCCATTTTCAAAGATTTCTAAGTCAAAATTAGCAAAATTAATTTATTTTTAAATTCTGATTTTTCAAAGAATGTGTTCAAATAAGCATTATTTCAATTAGAAACATTGTTCATATGA